CTACCTAGCTCTGCCCTTGACATGTGGGAATTATGAAGAATATAATTTGAGGTGAGATTTGAGTAGGGACACAAAGCCAAACCATATCAGAGGTGACTGAGTCAGGAGAGTGGAGGTCTTATGAATGGATTAACACCCTGATAAAAGAGATTCAGGGGAGCTCTTCCCTCCCTTTTGCTCTTCTGTAATATGAGAACATAGGGTTCAAGGTGCCATCTTGGAAGCCAAAACCAGGACTCTCACCAGACACTGAATCTGCCAGTGCTTTGATCTTGAACTTCCCTGCCTCCAGAACTGTGAGAAAACAAATTTCTGCTCTTTATAAACTACTCAGTGTGTTAGTCTGTTCTTGCATTGCTATAAAAAACACCTGAGCCAGGCGCGGTGGCTCACGCCTGTAATCCCAGCACTTTGGGAGGCCGAGGCAGGTGGATCACGAGGTCAAGAGATCAAGACCATCCTGGTCAACATGGTGAAACCCGTCTCTACTAAAAATACAAAAAATTAGCTGGGCATGGTGACGTGTGCCTGTAATCCCAGCTACTCAGGAGGCTGAGGCAGGAGAATTGCCTGAGCCCAGGAGGCGGAGGTTGCGGTGAGCCGAGATCGTGCCATCACACTCCAGCCTGGGTAACAAGAGTGAAACTCCGTCTCAAAAAAAAAAAAAAAAAAAAAAAAAAGAAACACCTGAGACTGGGTAATTTGTAAAGAAAAGAGGTTTAATTGGCACATAGGCTGCATGGTAAAGAGTGGTTTCTGCTTCTGGGGAGGCCTCAGGAAACTTACAATCATGGTGGAAAAGGAAGGGGAAGCAGGCACCTCTTACATGGCTGCAGCAGGAGAAAGAGAGAGTGAGGGGGAAGGTGCCACACATATTTAAACAAGCAGATCTCATGAAAACTGGGGGCAGTGCTAAATCATTCACGAAGGATCCAACCTCATGATCCAATCACCTCCCACCAGGCCCCACCTTCAACATTGGGATTTTACATTTCAAAATGAGACTTGGGTGGGGACACAGATCCAAACCACATCACTCAGTATCATGTATTTTCTTATAGCAGCGCAAATAAACCATGACACTATATTAATAAAGCTACATTCAGATGTGTGTTGTTTGATAGATGTTACTAGAGATGGTTCAAAATGAAAATGAAAAAGGATGTCAGAATAGAAATATTTCTATACATTTAACTACCTTTTAATCATATTTATATTAACTAAAAGGCAAAAATCTGATCAACTCGAAAGATTCCAGCCTACTCTTCTTCCACTATTTAATAGCAATGATGACATTAAACGTAAGCAAATGGTTGAACAGAGTACAGACAAGAAAAGTCCATCAGGAGACTTGTCATTCACACAAAAAAGTAGCCTAGAAAAGATAATTTACTAAGAACAAAATCAGGGTAAATGCTTTGGGAAGATTTTAATAATTCATCCTGAATTCTATTCCTACTAATCTCATATTCACTGTTGTATATAGCTCTGCCATCTGATTCAGATTGGCATTAAAACATCTAGACATTAATGCTAATTAAATATGCCTTTTCATTCTGATAAAAACACATTCTTCCCTTTAGTATCAAATACATGCAATATAATTCAATAGTCTCTAAAAGACACTTTAGATCCTCTTTTTGTCCAATAAAATCAGAAAAGGCAGGAAAGTGACTATCTAATGTGAATACCATATTGTTGACTATATTTCATTTCAATTTTAAAAGTAAATTATAAAAATGGCTTGCATCATATTTATTCTGATTCATACTGTGAATTTCTCCCCTCTGTCAGAACCTGAGGGTAAACCTCAGTGTTTAATGTTGCATGCAGGTGTGGATCTGCTGGGGTTCCTCTCTGGCTGTCTGAATTAGAATTACTAAAGGATATAATAGGAACACCCTTCTGGGGGATTTTGGATCCTAATATAAATTAGTACATATCTTATCATCATGAAAAATCTAGGCATAGCCTTCACTGAAAAATTAAAGACTATTTACATTCCCCATTTTATTCTGCATAATAGAAAAGTAAAACTATACAATTTTCAAATAGTTTTGACCTTAAATTCAGCCCCTGTCATGGGGCATTGGTACCTACACCTTGGTAAAAATTTTGGGACATGAATTAAATAAAGCTATATGTATTTTGAATTGTATATATCAAGAAAGTAAAAGTATTTTAAAATGTCAATGTCCCTTGTGATTCTAACATACATATCAATGCATATAGCAAGTATAAAATAGCTGTGGAACATCAATTTATTTTTCTTATACACCAGTCTAATTCTAAAATTGCTTGTGGAACATCTGAGAGAATAATTTGGACAACTTAGTCATGGTCTCTAGGATTAAATGGCAGATTTGACTGCATTACCTTTCAGTAAATTAATGTGGAGTTAAGAGTAGGTCTCAAACTCCTGGCCTCACGTGATCCACCTCCCTCGGCCTCCCAAAGTGTTGGGATTACAGATGTGAGCCAGCATGCCCAGCCCTCATTCTCCATTATGTAACAGATAGTCTATAAAGATTTGTTAGATGAATAAAAAAAGAATAATAATAAAAAAAAGAGTAAGTGCTTATAGTTTCAATGTCTGAAGTACCCCCTTGGTTCCAGGGTATTCAGACCCCTGATAACTGTGATCTTGTACCAGGGTAAGATAAGAGCACAAACACTCAAGGCAATGATGCTTTGTTGAGGCCACAATGGACTCCTTGCTGTTGCTTTAACACATTAGGCAATTTCCCACTTGAGGACACTCGAACTGCTGGTCTCTATGGTCTCAGTGCTCTTTCTCTGAGATATCTGCATGACTCACTCCTTCATATATATATTTTTAAACAGAGTCTCACTCTGTTGCCTAGGCTGGAGTCCAGTGGTGCAATCTTGGCTTACTGCAACCTCCACCTCCCAGGTTCAAGCGATTCTCCTGCCTCAGCCTCCCAAGTAGCTGGGATTACAGGCACTCACCACCATGCCCAGCTAATTTTTATATTTTTTAGTAGAGATGGGGTTTCACTATATTGGCCAGGCTGGTCTCAAACTCCTGCCCTCAAGTGATCCACCTACCTGGGCCTCCCAAACTGCTAGCATTGTAGGCATGCGCCACTGCACATGACCTCTCATTCATTTTATACCAGTGTCTTATGAAATCCTCCATTACAAATCCACCACCCCCCAATCTGATTCAGGTCAGCATTAAAGCATCTAGACATTAAGGCTAATTTAATCTGCCTATCTTTTCCCTACCCCATCTTCCTTTATTGCTTTGACTTCTGTTCTTATTTGGATTTATTCCATCTGCCACATTATATATTTGTTTACTTTATCAATCATTTCCCCCCAATGCAATACATACTATTTGAAAGTAGGGACTTGACTTTCTCACTGCTGTATCCCCAGCAACTAGAACGGCGCTGGCAAACGATTAGCGCTTAATGCATATTTACTGAATGAATGAATGAATGAATGATGAATAGGAACAGACCATACGAACATAAGTTTATCAGAAGGAAGATATCACTTCTTTCCTAGCAAAAATCTTTCAAAGTTTTGATCCATTCAGATATAGAAAATATTTTCAATTAAGCTTTTAATAAGCTTTCAATAGAGAGCAAAGTGCACAGCAATGAAAATAAAGTGAAAAATTCTTCATATGTTGCCAGCCACAAAATTTAATGTTGTTTTTAGAGAAATAGTCTTCTTATGTTTCATAAGCTTGTTCATGCTGCATAGGGCCTGAAAATTAGAATGTGGCCATCTCAAGTCAAAATGGAGTTTCCCAGATGGAGAGGCTGCTGTCTTCAATGACCTTTCTTTCTTTTTTAGCTGTATAACCTGATCCGTCAAAACCCAATTCAAATATCACTTTCTCCATGAAGACTTCCCAGATCTAACCATCTCTAAGACCTAGTCTCCCTCTGAAGCTTACTCTTTAGCTGTAACTTTCCTAGGCCATTTATGTTTTCTTGTTCTTTAGTTGTGTCTGTGTGTCTGTGTGTGTGTGTGTATGGGTATTTATCATTACGTTATTTTTGTTAATATTTCTTGAAAGTTTTTGTTGCTTGCTCTTCATGCTTTATGTCTCTGAAATGAACACTTTATGATGTTATATAGCCAACAGCACCGACTGCAATCCTTAGCATGGATTAAGTGCCAAGTAAATTTGAATAAATAAGTAAATACCATTCTCAAAATCAAACTGGCCTAGTACTAAGAAAAGGCTGTCTCATCACAGACTAGCCCCCTACTTAGATTAAAACAAGGACTAAAATTCCGTCCTATTATTTCCATTTACATGATTCTATTTCCTTGTGGCAATGGAGAAGTGACAGCATATGATTATTAAGAGGGACTTGACTCAGGGATTCCCACTCACACTTTGAGTCTATGTCTGATATAGCTACATGAATTTATATGCCTATCTTGGCTGCCCCAGCCAGATCACGGTTGCCTACAATAAAACACCTGAAAAGGACTCATCAAATATTTCCGCCTATATTTTCTGAAATAGCACATTGTGTGAGCTCCTGGACCATAATTTTGCCAGGAGATAGAAAGCAGTTGCAACTCCAAGCAGCATCTAGCTCACAATACTTGGGGTGTAAGGATTATAACCACTAAGTAGTGGCATGTCTAGCAAAGGCAGTGAGAAAACCAGTTTTGTTGAGCTAGCTGAGTCAGCTCCTACTAAACAAATTCCCATAGTGAATAAAATGAATGTACATTTTGTACCTAAAGTGCAAATATGTTAATATAAATGCAAATATGATGAGATTTTGGGTCACAGTGATATAAAGGTGGGATTGCATTTATTTGTATGACTAAATAGCCACTGAAAATACAAGAACTAAAACCAGAAAATGTCCAAAATCTCATTCTAAATATACCTGAGTCTTTCGAATGTTTCATTTTAATTTCATGAAGTCAAAATGTAAACAAAAACCACCAAATAAAATGTGATACCACAAAGACACAAGCAAGGCAGGAGGGTCACATACCGATGCACGCCGCTGCTGCACATGATGATGTGGCAGGCTCCTAGCCTACTGCACAGCTCCGAGGAAACTGACAGCAGTCCAACCCCAGAGGCACTGCAAGCTGTGTTTGCACAGGCAGCTGTGCGCTTGGATCTGATAAACGAGGCTACCAGTCGGTAAAGTTCATCCAAAGCATTGAGAGGCCTCATTAGCTGCAGGAAGGAAGGGATGAATGTCAAGTTCAACATGTTTAGTAAAATCCTTTTAGATGGGTTAAAATTCACCGTTGGTATAGCTTTTAAAGAATAGTCTAAAATATTATTTTGTTTTGGAGGTAATGGAATTAGAGACTGCAAATATTTAAAACTACTCATTGCTCAAGAACAACAGAAAAATTAAATAAGGATGATATATAAATAAAAAGCACCAATAAATACAATCATCTATTTTTACCTTATCTACATAGGCAGCTTTGGATGTGGAATTTGGTGGTGAATTTGACTTGTCCAAGTAAAATGCCCTGTAAGAATCCAAGGAAGAAATTAAATTTGTTGTTAGAAAAAGACATAATATGCACGAAGATGTTCAAGAATCACTGACTTCCTTTGAATAACAAGTGAATAAACAAAAGAATTGAACACTAAAGTTTGGGGTTGCACAAATGTCCACAAGTTTCCATTTAAAAAAGATAGTTAAAATTACCACCAGGTCTGTTACAAATTGTGTGGACTTGGAGAGATCACTTAACTTGTCTATGCTCGGTTTTCTCATTTGTAATTTAAGGATAGCCTTAGCTTCTACTTCATAAGGCTGCTAAGATTAAAAGAATTAATGCAAAATATGTGGAACAGTGCATAGCACAGAATAAGTGCTTATTAATATTTGCAATAATCAATATTAAAAAGTTGAAGAAATATACTTTTACAACTATTGAAGAACACTATCCAATTTTCATTTACTGTGGAAAAGATTATGAAACTAATTCTCAAAAAGATGAGCCAATTCTTTCCAGCACCAACCTATGCTCTATGCTCTGATTAGAAGTGAAACTCTGAGAGTCCAATGTCTCTTTTTTGTTACCAGGATACAATATGGTAATGACTAGTTCAATACACAAAGTGGAATCCTAGTGGCCTAATACACAATGGACATACTGCAAAGGATATGATCTCATTCTTTCATTCTTTTCTATGGCTGCATAGTATTCCATGCCATTTTTGTGTATTAAAATAGCCATTTTAACACCCAAAATGGAATCCTAGTGGCCTGCAAGAATTACATGCAGTTTCCAAAGAATTATTGCCGTGTTTGCTTTGCTTGTGGGTCAATACTAAACAGAAAATTTAAGGGAATGATCTATGAAGATAAAATACATTTATATTTTATTTGACCAAGTATCTATTTTTTTAGTGATGGCAAAATATATACAGTATAACACAAAATTTACAATTTTACCCATTCTTTTCATTTATTTTATTTTAGATTCAGAGGGTACACATGCAGGTTTTTTATATGGATATATTACATAATGGTGGGAATTGGGCTTCTACTGTACCTATCATTCAAATAATGACCATTGTACCCAATAGGTAAGTTTTCAACCCTCATCCCCTTCCCAATCTCACCACAAGTGTAAAGAGGTTGGGAAGGAGGTGAGGGTTGAAAAGTGTCTATTGCCTTTCAACCCTCAGTGTCTATTGCTTCCATCTCTGTGTAAGTGGGAACACACGGTGTTAAATTTTCCATTTCTGAATTATCTCACTTAGTTTAATGCCTCCAGCCCCATCCATGTTGCTACAAAGGATATGATGTCATTGTTTTTTATAGCTACATATTATGCCATTTTAAACATTCTCAAGTGTATAGTTCAATAGCATTAAATACATTCAAATTAACCCTCTAGTATCTATTTTTGATGAGGTAACAAACTTCACATTTCTAGAATGTGAGGTTTTAATGATGGTGGAACAAAGTAAGTCCCATGATATTAGAGTGAGTTGTCATATTAGATATTCAAATAGAAGCTGTTTATATTGTCGTTTCAGAGCATCTGTAGGACTTCAAAGTGTTGGTAGCTTATTATCAAATTCACAGTGTAACTGGGCAAAATCAGTGAGGGACAGCTCTATACTCTGCATGGGTGTTTTGAGTCCCACTGAGCATATGTGTTCACACCCACACGGAGTGATACTCCCATTACTAGCAATAGTGTTTTGTCTTTTTAAAATAAAGTAACATGGATTAGTTAAGCTTTACACTTTAAACTACAAAAGCTTTAGCTCTAAAGACTAACTTCCAAAATGACAATTATGGTCATCTTTATTGAGAAGCGGCTTTTTCTCGTCTAAAACACATATTGAACCCTCCTCAAAAGTTTTGTAAACAACTCAGAATCCAAGATTGGCTATTACTCATTATAACTCACTTCGCATTCCTAAGAGATTTCCAGGTACCACCTGCAGTTCCCCAGCCTGAGCACATAACACTGACGGGAGTGTGGGGGCTGCTGCAACCCCAGGAAGTAATCCACCAGACTGGGTCATGGTGACATGAGCCACTGCACAGTGGAACATCCATCAAGTGCCATGAAAATGCGGTTCTATCTAGCTGAGTGAATTAGTGTCTACTAAAAGCACTAGACTGAGAGCAAAATAGAAGACTAAGCGGTCATTTTCATGACTAAAATCAAAGGTATCATTTGCAACACCATTTTAAAATTTTCAACATTTTCCCCATTTTCTGAAAGAGATAACAATCGAAGAGGAGTACTGTCATCATAAGAGGAAATGAGCTTGAATGGTGTAAGGTACAAAAGCATGCACTGGGGCAGGAGCTGGGGCAGAGTGAACGAGCAACTTAGGCCAGAAAAGTAGACTCCAGGGCCTTAGAGGCCCTGATAAGATTTTACTCAAGTGAGTTGGGAGCCATAGAGGTAAATGGTCATAAAACTTGCCTCATTGCCAGAAGACTGGACATTTTAAATATTATTGCTGTGCCCAACAATTCACGTTCTATTGAAAGGTCTGTGTGTCCTTTCATTTCAATTGTACGTGCACTTATAGAGGATTAATCTATGAAAACCCACTTATGCATTTTGCTCTTTTGCTTCACCTTTTAAATAAATAAAATACTACAGATGCAGTGGAAGCCTCCTGTTGACTTATTCTTATTTCATTTCTGCCACTAAAATGTAAACTCCCCACTATAATGCAGGTCCTCTAGTAGCTATGGATTTATTTTTATTCATTTCTGCATCTCTAGCATCTGTAATAGTATGTGGAGCATGGTATGATCTTAATAAATATTTGTAAATAATCATTTAACATTTTTGTTTCTTTATGGATGGCTGATATGGCTTAGCTCTGTGTCCCTACCCACCTTGATTTGTAATAATCCCCATGTGTCAAGAAAGGGTGGGGTGAGGTGAAGATAACTGAATCATGGAGGTTCTTTCCCTATACTGTTCTTGTGGTAGTAAGTAAGTCTCAAGAGATCTGATGGTTCTGTAAGTGGGAGTTCCCCTGCACACGCTCTCTTGTAAGATGTGACTTTGCTCTTCATTCACCTTTGGCCATGATTGTGAGGCCTCCCCAGCCATGTGGAACTGTGAGACCATTAAACCTTTTTCCTTTATAAATTACCCAGTCTCGATTATGTCTTTATTAGCAACATGGGAACAGACTAGTATACTGGCATTCCTTCTGGCATCCAAACTAGACTTTGCCAGGCTGTTTCAATATATTCAAACTTCAGGGGAAAATCCATTTTAATGGTCCATTTTGTTGGCTGTCTTTCATACTGTTAGGTTTCCTCATGTGCTTTGGATTTATGTTTTGTAAATACATTTGAAGTGGAATGATTTTTAAATTATTTTTATTTAGTTTTATTGGTATAGCTCCATTCTCTCTCTCTCTCTCATCATCTTTCTCTTAAAAATGGTTTTGTGGATCACATATTTGCAAGCAGTTTTAGATCTGTTCTGAGTATGACATTGTCTTGACATCTAGATTATCACCAGTCATGTCCCTGAACTAGTGAGTAATTCGGTTTAGTTTGGTTTAGTAGTTTAAGGCCATGCCTAAAACGACTTCCTCTTTCCATCGTCAGCACCAAGCATCACCAAAGCTAATCTAAGCGATAGCGACAAGTAGATTTTTCATCCTTCATTCAGAAGTGGAGTCCTCTGCTACCTGGTTTCAAACAGTGAGGCTGGCTCTGGATTTCTGCCTAGTGTACAATGATGTTCATGTCCCATTGCCCTGCAGAAGCTGTCCCAGCCCCCTCTGTCCATCTCCAGAGTCCAGCAGGCCAGAGGCCTCAGCACAGCCCACAACTCACCACTTGCATTTCATTTCCATTCTTGGGCCACAGAGATAAATTGTTTTCGAGCCCAGCTGTGATGTTTGCATATTCTATCCTCATATTTTATCTAGCATTTGTTATACGCTTGGAACAGAGGCAGTGTCTCAAAGCTGAACCCAGAGAAGTACTTTGATCAGATGTCCTCACATCTTTTCTCAAGTAAACTTGGTAGAAAAAGTAACATGGCAAAAAATAGTACACAGGTCACAATCAAATTATTTAGTCTCTCATAGTCTCAGTTTCCTTATTTTCAAAATGGATATTAGAATTATCCGACATAGCATGATGTTGAACATTAAATTAATGCATACGAAATGATCATTAGTGTAATAGGTATATAGGACTCATTCAATAGACAGTAACAACTATTATTCAAGTACACACAGTGGCAAGCATCTCTGGACAATTTTTAGCCATGATAAGGAATAACAACATTAAGGGCAAAGCCATCCTACTTTCTGTGGAGGTAATCTAAAACATTTTATGACACGTTAAGAAATGAAAATTAAGTTAGGTATTTGGAATCTATATAATTACATGATCAGTGTATGAGTAGAATTTAGGTTTAAAAAGAAAAGAATGTTTTTCAGAGTAAAGGAAAGAAGACTGTCATTTAAATGCCTTAACTAGGTGCAACTCTTCTAAACCTTGAATCATCTGGGAAGAAAAATATTCTGTAAAAGCAGCCTATAGCTCCTCCACCAAAGGGAAGCATTGCTATAGAAACAGCTGGTTGCATGGAGCACTCTCTTCTTTCTGAAAAAGATGTTTGTTTGTTTATTTATTTATATTATACTTTAAGTTCTGGGGTACCTAATGTAGACGACAGGGTGATGGATGCAGATGTTCCTTTAAAAAAGAAGTTGTCATTGATTTAGCCAGTTAAGACCTGCCTATATCATGTTGATATGATTCTGCTACATTCACTTAAATTAATTTGATACAAATCTTCGACTACTTAATGGGGCAAATGTTTAAAGGAAAAAAAATAAGTTAGAGATATCACTTCTAAAGGTTAAAAATGTAGCCCACATCAAGTGAAATTTTATTTAGCAACAATCTACCTTTTTAAAACTGCTATAGGCTGGGCACAGTGGCTCACGCCTGTAATCCCAGCACTTTAGAAGCCCAAGGCAGGCAAATCATGAGGTCAGGAGT